TTTAAAATGCAATTACAATTGTGCAATTTCTTTATTACATAAGGCTTATGTATAGTAATTAGCACAAAGCCCTCTACGGTTTGGGACGAGCTTGCATACTATTTTCTCTTTCATATTTTATCATTACTTTAGTCTTCTTAATATATTCTTTTTCCTGTCTTTTTATTTACCTTACATCTCTATACTGCCCATACTATTTTCTTCTTAAAAACAACAAATATGCTAAGGATACTACGTAGTATTATTTAAAAACGGCAGGAGTATTGATATTGTGTTTATACTTCAGGGTCTTTTATTCAATTTTGAACATGACCTTTTATATGCAAGGGCCGACCCTGCTTTCACGTTAAAAGTGGATAGCGATGACATATTATTGTTTATTTGTTGAAGGCATCACATGTTTTAACACTTTAAATATTAATCTCATACTCTTTATTCGCTTTCATTTTGTATGAGATAATGACTCTTTGTTTGATTAAAGTCCACATCTATTGTTTTATATAGTAAATCTGAGTTATAAATCAATAATGTGTCAATCTCTCATTGGTAATTCTATTATCACTCATATTAAACCATTTAACTAATTCCAACTTCCTAAGTTCACACGGTTATCACAAGTCATTCACCTTAATTACACAACTCATTTGGAGAAAAGAGAGGAGAAAAAATCTCTTATTTTTAAATTGTTATAATTATTTTATTTGTACTCCATGTTTTATAAAAAATATATCAAAATTCATAACTTTTTACAATCCTTTTTTTGACACCAATATAACATATGTACAAATAAAAAGAAATATTAAGGTCCAATTGGTGGAGATTTTAAAGCTTAGAACTTTTTTTTATCAATAAAGCCCAAAACATTTTTTTTGAGTAGATTCAAACCTTCAAATTAAGATTTCATAATTAATTTTTACATTTTTGAGTTAATTACATATTGTTCTGTATACTAAACTTGAATTATGAAATGCTACGTGTGACTCTCTTATTGACTTCACATAATACGTATTAACATTTTTAATTTTACAATCATTGTTTAACTCATTAAATGATGAAAATGCTAATGTAATATAATAAATGATTCGTACTTTTACATCACAACATTTAATTAATTTATAACATCTACATAATATGATTAATTATTGATTAGATTGTGCATTAAATCATATTGTATATTATGTTACAAATTTAACACTTCAATTATATCCATAAATAAACTCAGTTTACACCTTGAGTAAATGTATTATGATATGAAAACATGGTAACAATATGTATATAATATGAATGTAGTCAAAAACTTCACATTAAAACTTTCATACAATTTTTTTATTATTCTTCAATTATGCATAGCTTCAAGAATTACAATAATGTACGTAGTCCCATCGTCCCAACGAAACCTAACGAAACCACAACGGGGATAGGAAGGATCGCAACACGTGTTGGGGCTGCAATATTGCGGTACCATTCTATAGCGCAACCGCATCGGGCCGCAATGAAGGTGAAATTTCAATTCACGGGAAAAATCTGCTAGGTAACCCAATCAAACCGCGACGGGGCCATATCGGATGAGTCAAGACATCAACACTAATTATTTTCTTATTTCATTTGAATGCAAAATTAAATTACACCGCATCAGCCGCGCACAATACGCATTGCAACGGCTACAAAAATTGACTGATTCGACGGAATTAGCTAAATTTGGTGAAATTAATGCTAAAAGTGGCTAAAATGACTAATTTTTTTAAATTATGAAAGAAAACTTATGTATGACGTAGTAATTTACAAAGCAAGTGAAGAAAACTTATACGTAGTAGTACGTATGACACACTGTCAAAATAATCTTATTAAGTAAATTTAACTACGTTCGAAAAAGTAATTATAGCTTTATTTAGTTTAATTATTACGCTATTGAGTGCGCTATGTCAAAAGTTTGGTAAAATGTTTGCTAATAAATTAAAAAAAATACAAAACGGATTCGAAACTCTTTACCCAATGAACCATGTGCGCAGACATCACTATTCTTTTCTTTTCTGGTGTATAAAAAAATACATCACTATTCTTTGAGAAAGTCGGAAGTTTTGTCGTGTATTTTGTTCACGTGCATGGATTAATGTACTTAGATCTCATATATATTACTTTCGTCTCTTTAACAGTGGCGGACCCAGATATTTGTGAGAGCAGGGACACTGGTTTTTACTTTAAGTGCTACTAGTGAAATTTCAGGCCCGAAGTGAGGGCACTAGTTTTTACCTTAAGTGTTACTATTGAAATTCCAAGCCCGAAGCGGGGCACATGCCCCCCTAGCCCCCCTTAGGTCCTCCACTGGTCTCTTATAACTTTGTCGGACTTTTTTTCTAATTGTTAAAAAATGTCATTTTCTCTTTTAATTAATTATTTTCCGATTTCATATCGTTGTTAATCATGAATGACATGCCTCATATGATCATATCAATTATGATTTATCAATGTTCCATCCCCGTGCGTAGTGCACTTTCACGTTAAAAGTGGATAGCGGTGACATATTATTGTTTATTTGTTGAAGGCATCACAGGTTTTAACTTTTAATACTTTAAATATTAATCTGATACTCTTTATTTGCTTTCATTTTGTATGAGATAAGATAATGACTCTTTGTTTGATTAAAGTCCACATATATGTATGTATACGTAAATTATTTCTTGAATATTTCATATCGAACAAGAAACGGGTCACCTACTTGTATCTGTGGTCTTTGAAGAAGAAAATGGCCGATAAAAACGGGTCGATGATTGAGAAAGGTTTGTTGCATAGTCAAGAACTATATCGGGTATTTGATCTCTCAGTTTACTTCAGTATCTTTATATTTGTGTCCTTTAATTCTTAGATAGAGTTTATTCATTTAATTTTATATATTTGGAAACTACACTAAAAGTTTTGCTGAAGAGCAAATAGGAATTTGAATTCAATAACAAGTTCACATTTAAATTAGATAAGAAAAAATGAATTTCTATTGAACAATGAATGGTAAATTTGCAAAGTTGAGTCTTAGGCAGGAGTGTGAGTTTGAGTCTGAGGAAAGAGTGTCTGATTCCTCAACACTAGCGCCGCTTGTGGGAAATTGATCAAAAAGATCCTTCAAACTAAGCTCTCAGCTAAAAAATCACTCTCAAACAACTAAAAAGCAAGTAAGAGGGCAGCTAACAACGCAAGGAACTCCCAAGATCTCTCTTCACGACTGGCTCACAGCAGGAGGATCCGCAACCAGGCGGCAGGGGCCCAGTCCAGCAGCTTATGGAGTCGTAGGGATTTTGGGGTACTCACTGATCTGATTCCCCGAGAGGTCCGCCGGGACCCGAATGCCCTGAGGGAGATAGCAGACACCATCCGTCGTTTGGCACACGAACAGGAGGCGGAATGCGTGTACTCTGCTAACATAGAGCGAACACCGTTCTCCCCTCTCCGTTCCATGCAGATGTTTGGCGAACGTACCGGTGAGAACGATGATTCTCGCGCGTCGGTCCATACTAGGATCGTCAGGAACATTCACTCTCCGGATATGAGAGGCACCGGGGGAAGCAGGCTCTTTGGAGGAGCGCAGCGTCATGCGGTCCACGGCCGCACCTCGGTGATGCCCCGTAACAATCAGGCTGCAAGGGAGCACACCTCCCTGATGGAAGGCATGAGGCAGGAGGCCTGCGTCATCCATGGGCAGCACAATTTCGGAGTCGTGCAGAGGGAGAATGCCTTAGCACTAGTACACCCCACACCTGCTGTCATCGATCCACGAGATGCTATGTTGATGGACATGTCGAGGCAAATCAATGAGTTGAATCGACGGGCGGACACTGACCCGGCTCAACCCAGGATTGCCCTATCTTCTCCATTCTCCGCCAGGATCATGGCGGTGGAAATTCCAAGGAACGTCAGGCCCCCCGGGGGACTGGTTTACAACGGGGTCGGGGACCCCAAGGCTCATTTGCTTTCCTTCCAAGGAACGTTTTCCATGTTGGGAGCCTCTGATGAGGCCATCTACAGGCTTTTCTTTAGCACCCGCAGAGGACCGGCACAGGAATGGTTCGGGCAGCTCAGGCCCGGATCCATTGACGGTTTTGAACAACTCTTCAGGTAGTTCATGGCGCAGTTCGCCTCCAGCGCCACACCGAAGAAACATTTCAACTGGTTGATGAACGTCCGCCAAAATAAGGGGGAGTCCCTATCTGCCTACCTCATTAGGTGGACGGACGAGACTCTGAAGGTGGAGGACCTTCTGGAGGACACCGACATTACCCTTTTCACCAACGCACTCACAACTGGGGATCTCTTGTAACACCGTCCCCAAGTATATTTACTTTTTAGTAAATCATGTAATAAACCTTGAATAATGATTTATGAATTTACGAGGTTGTAAATTTTTGTTATTACTTTTGCGTGAATAGTGGATTGCACGTGGAGCCCACATCGGGAGCGGGGACCACCTCATAATCCCGGGACCACATATTATATTCATCTTGGTCTAGATAATATTTATATGGTGGTGGATATTTTAATTGGGCCATAGAAAGGGCATAGGGTTGACTCGTCGGTCAAACGAGGCCCAATTACTGGTATTGGTAATTTGTCGGATAACAGTCCGAAACGAATTTTGGAGTTCTAAATTAATGTTGGGGAATGTACATCCATAATAAAGGCCTACAATGAGTAGGAACATGTGTTATGTTTTATTTGACCCGATAAAATAAAATATAATTAAAACAGTTCGAAAAATATAACTTTTGGGGCTGATTGTACACATCGGGACATAAAGAGATGACCTCCCACATGAGTGGGGGCCACCCCTCTAAATTAACCTCTCAAATATCAAGGGGAGCCGCACAACACATGGGGGAATAGGCTTGAGGTGATTGAGAGCCAAACTAATAAAAGAAAAAGAAATTGTCCCATGTAGGACTAAAAAACTTTTAAAATTCTTAATTAGGACTAAGTATGTTTATTTCCCTAAGTAGGACTTTATTAATCCTATACTAAAACTAACGTTTTTTACCCGTACAGATTTGCCCTTCGCGTAACATACCCCATCTGCGTAACATACCCCATCCGCGTAACCGTTTTTTCCCCATTTCGTTCGCTTCCTGATTTTCAGACTTTCAGTTACGATGCTTTCCCCTTGTTTTACGCTCCCCTGTATTATCTCCTTCCGTTTTCACCGTGTCTTTCTGTATCAACCAATCGCTTATGCCATATCTCATCTTTGCTCTGTCTATCATAAGCTACGACCAAACGCATATGTTGATGTGAAGTGTTCCAATTGTTCTGGTAATTATCTAACTGCTAATATTATCAGTTTCTTCATTATTCATCTTCTGTATTATCGGATGTTGTAGAAGAAGGTAGCGACAATTGAAGGATATTTTAATGTATTTGTTTTTATTTGTCATTGTTATACATTCCGAAACCTAAAATCATGTTCCATGTCTGTGTTGAAATCTGGAAAATATGTCATTCAGTATACATATATGCGCTTATCCTTCATGGTTGTACTCATGGTCATCGTTTGACTTGCGCCTGGGATTCTGTGTTTGGTGTTTTCAGTTGGAATTTTAATGACATAATCTTGGCATAATGTGTACTCGTAGTCATCATTTGACTTGCGTGTGGGATTTTGTGTTTGGTGTTTTCATTTCCAATTTAATGACATAATTTTGGCATAATGTGTACTCATGGTCGTCATTTGAGTTTTGGCTGGGATTCTGTGTTTGGTGTTTTCAGTTTGAATTTAATGACTTAATCTTGGCATAATGTGTATTCATAGTTGTCATATTGTTTTTCATTTTATTTGAACAATTTATATTTATTTATCTAGTTATCCATATGGATTCCATTGTTATGATTATGCTGAAGTTGGGTGGAAGTTGGACCAATGACTATAACTTCAACAGTAACCTCACCTTTGCTATTCAAGTTCTTTACTCATCTACATACAAAGACTTTATAGAGCAACTTTCTTCCATATTAAGTGATTCTTACAATGCAACAAGTGAGTTGAAGTTATCTTACATGGTTGATGGTTGCCCTCCACCTGTGTATATCAATGATGAAGCCAGTTTCCGTTTTTTCCTCAACCTTAAGGTTCTTCAGACTGATTTCAGCAAGTACCCATTGTGTGTGGAATTCTCAATTCATGGTTATACTCCTTGCCCGGTGCCTGCTACGGAAAATACTGTACCTATTTATGCTTCACCATCTCATGTTTCTTCTGAGGAACATGATAACATTAGTGGACAAAAATCTGATTCCAACTCTTACACTATTGTTCAACATGAATCCAATCTCACACAAAAATCTCCTAGTCCCATTACAATCAATGATGATGTATGTCATAGTCCATTGTCTTCTGTCAGCCCTTGTCAGTCACCTCCTACTCATTTACATTCTACTGAGTCATTTTCCTTCCATCATAATGTTGAAGTTATCACCCACTATCATCCAACACAGATCATGAAGTATGCCATATATAATTCTAAGTTTGACCTCAGTCACCATTTGAAGTTGTATGCGATTGATAATGGCTTTCAATACCGAACACTTACATCAAAGAAAGGGGTATTGCATGTTGTATGTTGTGATGACAATTGTAAATGGGCTGTGAGGGGTGTGAAGTTACGTGGTGTTCAAATGTTTCAGATTAGAAGGTATGTTCCCATGTTATATTTTTTTACCTGTATTCTTTTGTATTAATATTCCACATATGTGGCATTTCTTCCATCATGACATATATTTTTACAACTGCAGGTTCGACTCCACACATACCTGCTCCATTGACTTTAGACAAGGAAAACAGAGACAAGCAACATATCGCACCGTTGCTGAGCTAATCTCCCATAAATTTTTGGATGCATCAAGGAAACCGTATGCACCAAATCTAATCCGGGAAGACATGAGTGTGGCCCATGGCATTTCCATGTCATATAAGAAAGCATGGAAAGCTCAAAAGCTAGCCATGCAAAGGCAATTTGGATCTGATTTTGAGTCTTATCAGAAACTACCTTCCATGGCTTATATGCTAAAAAAGAGAAATCCGAATTCTGCAATTTCTTTAATAATAGGTGATGAGGATGAGTTTCGTTACTTTTTTATGTGTCTTTCACCTTGGCGGCAGGCATGGGATTTTTGCAGACCTGTTTTAATTGTTGATGGCTCATTTATGAAGGCATACTATAAGGGGACACTACTAACAGCTTGTGGCCAAGATGCTAACGGTCATATTGTACCTTTAGCTTTTGGAATATGTGATTCCGAATCCAAAGCTTCGTGGAATTGGTTTTTGAGCCAAGTGCGTGACAGTATAACCTTCCGACCTGATATGTTTATTGTATCTGACAGACATGAAGGTATTCTAAGTGCTGTTAAGGATATTTCCCCTCATGCTCTTCATGGATATTGTGTGGAGCACCTTCGGCGTAACATGGTTCCAAAGTTTAGGGGCGCGGGTAAGAATTTGGGTTGGAAATTCAAGGCTGCCTACATGGCATCGACATTCAAGGAATTTGAGGAATATATGTCCTTGTTGGATTCTGAGGATATTCGTATACGTCCTTGGCTTGAGAAGATTGGTTTTCAAAAGTGGGCCAAGTGCATGTCTGGTCCTAGGAGATACGATATCATGACTTCCAACTGTGCTGAATCTATGAACAACGTCAATGTGTCTGCAAGAGAGTATTCTATATCAAAACTCGTGGATTTCTTGAGGGAAAGAATGCAGCAATGGTTTTCAGAAAGGAAGGAAAATGCTGAGAAAACACGTACATTTTTGGATCCCACACGTGAGAAGCATTTGGTGGCCCTTCAAGGACAAGCTTGCAGGATGCAGGTAACTCAATGTGTGCTAAATTCGTATACATTTATTCGTAAGAAATATGCATTTGATTTTAATTATTTGTTCAGTTATTGTATTTTATACCTGGCAGCAATTCCAAAAATATGGCATTTGGTTACGATCGAAACCCCTCTTCCATGCTTCCCAGACCTTATCCCCCAAATCATTTCTGTGAATATCCATCATTTAACTTTATTATTTTTTATCTTTTTTAAAAACAACATCAGGTGAAGCCAGCATCTTATACAGAATTTGAGGTGGTTGATAGACATTGTCGGTCATTTGTAGTTGATCTGAATTCTAAGACATGCAGTTGCGGGGTCTTTCAATTATCTCATTTTGTTTGTGTGCATGCTGTTGCTGCTATTGGTACCAGGCCAGCGATGTCATGCTATGATTATATATCCAAATATTACACTCGAGATTACTGGTTGTCCACCTGGAGTGGCGTTATGCACCCTATTTGCGATGTGGAGTCTTGGTCAGTTCCTCCTGATGTTTTGAATGTTCGTTGCAAGCCGCCTTCGTGTCAAAAAAGACCACCCGGTCGTCCCAAAAAGTCAAGAATCCCATCAATTGGTGAACATCGTCGTACGAAGCGTCAAAAATGTTCCCGCTGTCATGCTACTGGTCACAACAAAAAAACCTGCCGCAATCCACTGCCCATATCAAATGCCTGATGTATTTTTTAAGTTTTCTTCTTTAAGAATTTTTAATTATGGTGTCATTGTTTTGAAATGTCCATGTTGATTACATAAATTTATGCACAATTTAGAGCCAGTAGTTTCCTTAATTCATGTATTTGGATTACATGATGTTTTAATTTCCTTTATACGATTACGTGTTTTGCACTATTGTTGATGGATATCATATTTTTAATTCCACCAATGTTCATGTCATTTCGCCATCTTTATTAGTACCATACAACCCACAAATTGTACCTTTTTTTAATTAAATTTCTACAAATCAATATTGACAGTTATCATGCTTCATCCATATATGCCATACTTTTGGCATTACACGTCAAATAAACACAATTGATATGTGTAACAAATGTAATGTTCACAATTTCTTTAATGCCAATAATAAATTATACATTGTACAATGTTGATCTCAACATATCAATGAGTCATTCCACATTGTAGTCTAACATTCTGCCATTTAAAAATATAAGCGTAAACAGTGCAAAATTGCCATAAAAAGGGCATTTTAAATTACATTTAATGGCAGAAATACTACGTTTGCATACGTCTGTTATAGAAACTTTTCCACTTTGATTTAATAGCAAACAACTACACATAAAATTTAAATCCAAAACATTACTCAAAGGAGTCAAGGACATACTACACCATTATGCAAAACGCTCAGTCAACATTGTAAGTCAAACATCAAACATTAAACGTAAATATTCAAAAAACAACATTTCATTCAAGTTTCAAATGCAACTCCTCGGTCCCTGCTTCTGTTTTTTGCGTTCCTCCATCCTCTTGTTGTTATACAACACTAACTCTGTGGCCATCTTTTGCCTATACATGACCATGTCCTTTGACTTGGTCTCTTTTATATCTAGCCCCATCATCAAAAATTCGGCAATCTTCAATACGTACATGCCACAGTTTCCCCTACAATCATGACGCACCAATACGAAATAAATCATTTTGTATTACATATTAATATTATGTTTCTGAAAAATACTATACACGACATATTTTACCCGTCTTCTTGCTGTGGGCAATCCTCGGCAGGCTCCAACTCTAACACTTCGTTACCCATACGCTCATACCCAATTTCATCATAAACACCATGCACGTCCATGACTTTTGGCAGCAACCACTGTATGCTCTCTACAAACGGTCTAATGTCTCTTAAACTATCAGGCCGTCTGGTTTTGGAGTTGTAAACTCGTATCTTTCTTTTTTTAACTTCCAAAACAAGTAACACCCAGTGGTTGCTATTATTAAGCGGGAGGTATACGAACTCAGATTCTGCCCAACTCCTAGAGAATGGTGAAGCACTGCCTTGAATTTCGTCTTCAATCACTGCAATGTTCGCTGCTTCTGTAATCGTCGTCTCACCTTTTTCTATCTTCTCATTTTGACGTCTCAGCATTTGTAGAAAGTAAGGCCCACTAGCGCTGTAATTGTGCTGCACCATGTACTGTACTTGCTTGACATTCAAGTAGTACATCCCTGCATAAATGTGCTAAGAACAAATGCAAAATCAAAGAATTAATCATAGAATATTTCTGAATTTTTTTATATAAAAACATACATTGTCATGATTTATGATCCACATTTTACTTAAGCTTTTATATCTCTAAAAGTGATCAGTCAGAAACATTACCATCTCGTCCAGCCACTCTGGATTGACAAACAACTTGTACAACCATGTTTTTGATTCTATCTTTGCCATATCCAGAATAAATGGTACGCCTCTCATGCTGTCCTCATCTTTGCGGTATCTTCTGCCACCTGCTTCCTTTGTTGCCCTCTTCAATAGTCCAACTTGAAGATAAGTTTCTAACTTCCGTACTTCTTCTTCCGGTGGAGATTCAGTTGGGTTTTCTGCAAATGGTCCATACTTTCTAGCCGGTAAAAAGTGGTCCTCCTCACTTTTTCTCGCTCTTTCTTTCCGTCTCCTCTTTGCAGCCACCACATTCTCTGCTGGTGTATATCTGTCTGGAGATCTTGCATTTCGTTTAGGTCTTGTATCGGCACCACATGTGATCTCAATCTGCACATCAACAAAAAAACAATATAGTTGAACTAATATTCCACTTTTATGCATTTATATTCATAATTATATACAACACCACTTACACTCTTTTCTATGTTCACGTCTGCATGAACACTTGTACTTCCACTTCCTTGCGCTATCTCCTGGACACGCACACTTGCAACTTTCTGCCATTATAAATTAATATTAACAGATATATATATATCAAAATACAAGTCAAAGTGAGTTGTTATGAACCTCTCCCTTTCGACTATGCTCCTCTGAAGTTTTTTCGCCTAATACAAGTTTCTCCACTTCATCCACGCTTGTGATTAACTCATTCACAAATTGGGTGTTCAAATCTTCCCAATTTTCCTCCTCATTGTTCACCCCTCTGCCAACACTTTCTTCCACACCCCTCATGCCTTCTTCCTGATTTTGTTTATTGCTCCCCCCAGCTTTTTCCTTCTCCCCACATTTGCCCTTTTCTACTTCTTTAGTCCTCTCTAACACATTTTCTTCACTTCCATCTTCTACTTCTGCTTCCTGGAATTTTTCTTGTGTTTGTGGACCAAATATGTTATAATTTGGCATGCTACTGATCACTGCACCATCATCTCCGTCACCTGCGTTTTGCTCTCCTTCATTATCTTGATCTCCTTGAGCTTCTTCATCACCTTCTTCTGTGTTGTTTTTTTCTTTGCTTTCCTTGCTAACCCCTTCACTCTCCGCCTCATCCTTCCTGTTCATGGCCTCCAACAACTGCTTGAGCAACAACTCCTGCCTCTTCTGGGTTTTCCTAACTTTTTTTAATTCTGCCATAATCTTGGCATTCTCCTTGCTAAGTTTCCTAACATTTCTCAGTGTCAAATCTGTCTTTCTGGCAGTTCCAAAACCCACCTTACCACCACTATCATCCTCCTCTTCGTCCTCCTCCCCTTCATCCTCAATTTCCATTTTTTCTTCCAACTTTTTGTTTTTGGCCTTTTCCAAAACCGTGGCTGCACTTTTGGTCTTTACCCTCTTCTCTATTTTCTGAAATACCTTCACCCCATCAACCCTATATCCCCCAGCAATTCCAGTATTACTCCTCCTCACAGAACTTCTCATTTGCTTGGACAGTAAAATTGGAAAATGTTCACCTTCCACATTTGTAGGCTCCATCCTTTTCCACTCAAACTGCAAAATAAATAAAATTAACAATTTATATTTAAAATGCAAACACCATCTTTTCAGATTCCTACATAGTAATTAACAACTAAATGCTATTTATTACCTTTTCATTCTTGAAAATGATTTTGCTCAAAACTTCCAGTGATGGCTTTTTTACAAATTCCCACTTCACAGCCCTTGGTATTCGAGTCTCTCGCCCTTCAATCACACTGCATATATCTGCCTTGGCCAGTCCTGTGAAGGTTTCAAATGCCCAAACTTGTATGGCAATTAAACATCCTGTCAGTGTGACGCGTGTCCCTTTACATTTCTTTAAACTCTTGGCATTGGTCCTCATGTTATCCACCAACTCAGCCCAGACATCATCCCCCCATGGATATTCATTGAAATCATCCAAGTTTTCAACCAAATTCACATACATTGTTGGTAATTCTCTTGTTGTGTGGTTCCCAAACAAACCATGTGACAGCACATGGAGCAATGCAAGCTTCACACCATCGTTTTGGTCATTGTCAGGGTCTCCACTATTGTAATTCATTAAAGCATTTTGACAATCACTTCTTCTCACCCCGGATGTGTTTCCAAAATACTTTTTCCACAACGCCCCCCTAAAATTCTCTTCTACATGTGGTTTAACTCCTCCAAATTTAAGACCCAAAGCCATGCACATATCATTTTTTCTGAAAGTAACTAGGCTGTTTTCAATATGAAAATGAATGGCATTTAGCTCTTTCCTCCCATTCACCTTTTTTACATAGTTGCACAGAAATCCAAGTTGAAGTTGCCCACTAATTGTGCGCATCTCTTCCACATCCAATACCCAACCAAATACACTTCTCCTGAATTCAACCAATTCTTCAGCTTTTAGTTGTTGTTTTATCCTCTTCACTACCTCACTCAAACTGCAATAGCAATTAATTCTCATGCTTTCTACATTTTGCAGTTCTTTCTTTCCAAATTTTCTCTGTATCACCTAAATAAACACAAAACCATTCATTTCACACATTTCTTTTACAGTAGTGTAATCAATAATACAACTATCATGTTCAAATGTCCAAGATACATGCCAGATATTCATTGTCATTGCTTTGCAGCTTTCAAATTTTAAAAAGTTCACATTCACTTTCTGCCACTTATATTTCAATAGCTTAGCACTAAATTGTCATTTCTTCCAAAAAACTGACTTCCAATTTTTTCTCCATACTACTATTTCTTCCATGTTTTCATTGTTCAACTTTCATTTTAAGCCAATACTTTTGTCATTTCTTCCAAAACACAACTACCTGACATTTATTCCGTTCTACATATGTTCATTGTACAAATTTCATGTTTCATTGTACAACTTTCATTTTACGGCATATCTGCCATCAACGTTTTAAACCTATTCAGATTCTGCCATTTTCCTCTAGTTCATTTGCCTAAATTTTTGCAAAATCAACTACAACCACCTCTTACAGTGCTTTTAAAAGTCTATACATCCTATCAATTTTTCAAATTGCATTCATCAACGAATTGTCATCTATTTGAACAACATAGTTTCTGCCATTTATGCCATTTAAAATATTCATACCACTTATATGTAAATATGACATTCTATTGCATGCATTCTATCATCATAACAAATTTCACAATTTGTATTGAACACTGGGAACAAAATCTTCCAGATTTTCGTTCCAAAGTCATGCACATATGCCATTCTTTTCCATTATTTACTAACACATACAATTGCAACACAATATCGGCCGTAAACACATAAATTGATGTTCATAAGTACAACATACCAGATCTGCTTTCTCCCGCTCTGTCTGCTGTCCTCGCCTCTGTTTCGGAACTTCGTCACCGGCCATCGTCGCGCTTCAACTGCTTCCCTTGTTTTCGTCTTCCACCTTTTTACGCTCAGTT